ACTGTAGTTTAAAAATTGCTAAATAATCACAGATTGTATCCTGTGCGGCGATTTTATTAATTGTTTAAAATAATTCGTTTGTAATTAAGGTAACTTTTAAAAGGACATGTTATCTTATTTTATTTTAATTTGAAGAATAGATTGCCAGAAATTACAAATCACAAAGAGTGCTCGACTGGCAGAGATCACGTGTTTCACACACAAGCGACTGCCAAAACTACAATGCCGCTGTACGTTTCGTAGTTGTTGAACTCTACCTATGGAATTACTTTTTGAGAAATATTCTTAGGCTCTTGTCTATATCAAACCGCATCATTTTCAACGAGATAAAACTATTGTTAATTTAATAAATACGTATGACATCTTCGGTGACGTGTCAAAAATGTCAATGCGTTCCATATTCGGTCATATAAGATTTATATTCCATAAAAATTACCCTGGAAACCAAAAATCGGTGAATAGAATAGAAATGAAAGAGGGAGAACACACCGTGTCGTGAAAATCTGAACTTTTAGTTTTTATTTATTTTGAGAACATTAGACGTTAAATTGTTTCACATCTACTTAATTAACTCGGAAGAAAAACTACACTTTCTTAGTACAGATCGGCCGGATGAGCTTGTGGGAGTGCAAGTGATTATTAGCCTTTTGGGCCGACGATTCCTATGAAATTCGATCCCATTATAAATATACCGGGAGATTAGGTTTCGGGGTTTAATCATCGGAAATTTCGTGCTCGGAAAAGGGCCCCGCTTATTTCCCATGGTCGACTTGTTTATTTTTTGTTATAAGTTGCTTTATATTAGCGAATGGATCGACGAAATCGGTACCAGCAAGTGGTTTACTTTTAAGACAACATTAATCCCGCATATACCTAAGTAATATAAACATCCTCCTCGTTGCTTTTTTTTAACGGTTTCCCCGTCGAATAAAACATCCGTGAGTCAAGCCTAATATGCCTTTGTATCGAGTTTTATACGATAATTATACAGGTTAATGTTACACCCGTCGTATCAAGCTTTCAGGAGTACGACGCGAAGATATAACACCGTGGCGTTTCGGACATCCCTAGCGCTTCTACCGAGCGAGCAAAAAAAATCAATCGAAAACGTCGGTGGCCGATAGTCGGTAATGTATAACTCTATATGAACTAATTGAAAAGTGAGGCAAATTTTGCAATAGATAAAGTAACTTTTCTCGCGGAAGCAGAAAACACTTTTTAGGAATTTTTTGAGTCACCAATGTTTAGAAAAAACAAAAAAACAATAAAAACAATTATTCCAATGAAAAACATAAAGTTAATTGTCAGAAAAGGGTCAAAAAACTTAATAATGAATAATTAAATGTCCTCATTTAGTGGGTCTGTTTCGGGAAAATCACCACTACTTAGGAAAAACCGCGCCATAAATGTCAAATTAATTGTCAGAAAAAGATTAAATAAGAACAGAGGTAATAAAAATAGTATAGGAAATAAAATAACTAAATTCCCAAACTTCTGTCGATTTCGGGGAACGACCGTCATATAGGAAAATCAAAAACATATATTCAAGCAAGAAACGCGAAGTTAGTTCGGGTTGAATAAAAACAGATTGAATAAAAGGATAATAAATAAATTCTCTTGGTGTTTTAGTGTCACCACTATTTTAGAAGACACACAAATCCACACCAAAAATCTTTATTCAAACAAAAAACATAAAATTGGTTGTATGAAAAAGGGTCGAATAAAAACGGGAAGTATAAAAATATACATAAATAAAAATACCTGTAATAGTTAAATATATAAATTTTCAATTATTAGGGCTGAAATATTTAAATTTACATTATGAGTAGGAAATTGCCTTTTTTTTTTAATTAATTCAAACACAGAGAACGTTTCAAATGAAGAAATTTCTGTTACGGTGGTTCCTTTCGAGCCCGCATCACAGTGTAGTAGGATTTTTGGAAGATGCGTCGTTTTGACTTATGGCCACTATTTTAGCTTTTATTAAAGAAAATTTGAATACGCTCGAGTGTTTCTCGCCCAGCGTGAGGCCGAAAAGTCGATAAAAAAATAATATTATTCGGATGCGGCGGCCACTAAATTCTTTACAGCACCCCGATATATAAAACACCTTTTATGTTGTTTATAATGGTTATAAAAAATTTCGGTTTATTTACTTTTAACGCAAGAAATTATTTATTTTTGTTTGGGCATAACGTGAAAACTGGGTGTCTCGTTAGGCCGCATGGGGAAAAGGAATACCGATTAAAGAATTGGGAAGACCCCCTTTTATCTGAGATTGTTTATAATGATTAAAAAAGAGTAGCTACGACGGGGATTGCTTTAGGTAACATTTGATGTTCAAGCACGATATTTTCTAAATTATCCATAAAAGTATCGGCTAACAAAGGACTAAGTGGCTTTCCCATAATCAAACCTTCTTTAGAGATATAAATCTGTCCATTAAATTCAAAATAATTTTGGTCTAAAGATACTATTAAGCAATCTACTAAATCTTGTTTCACCAATGGGTTAACCTGTTTCCGAGTTAGGGTAAAATCTACTAATTATACCACATCCATAGGTGGAATACTGGGAAATAAGTTTTGTACATCAAAAGACAATAGTGTTGTGTTAGAAGGTATTTTATATCTTTAATTTTGTTGATTAATTCAAAAGAATTTTTTATTGCAAATTTTGGTTTAAAATCTGCGTGGAACTTTAAAATATTTACTAATTTTGTAGAGAGTTTAACTGCTGGAGCTGTTACATAAGACACGACTGGTCTAATGGGCATATCTTGTATATGTAATTTAACTAAATAATATAATTTAGGCGGTTGTGGATTCATAATTGTTAAAAAATATTTGTCTTTGTCACTAAATAGTGTGGAGCTAGTAATTACATCCTTGACTTGTCTTTAATATAACTATGTAGGATCGTGTTTGATACATTGGAAAAGTTCTGGTTTAAGAAAATTGTTGGTTTTTGAAATATATTCTGGGAGATCGATAGCTATGACCGTCTACACGTGTAAATATTATGTTATTTTCAGAAGCTTTGTTTTTGATAGTTTTAACCAGTGACATTTGAGAAATTTCTTTGTGTTTGTTGTTATCTATTAATATTATATTCGCAAATACATGTTTATTTAAATTAGAATCGTTAATGTCCTTAATTGCTAATTCGCAGTCGATCCCTAAACAGTCTAATTCTCTATTAATGTACGAGTGTTGTAAGTAAAAGCTGAAACCTTTTTCCAGAAATTCTACGTCATTTTTGGAAAATGTTGTGTCTGTTAAGTTTATGAACCTGTTGTAAAATTGATGGTCGGTATACTTTGTAATAAGTGGATCAAGTCTATGAGACAATTCAGAATGTATTACCTTTACATAAATGTTGTTTGAATCCCGTTTTCTATACTCGTGTCTTCGTTCTTCATTCATCCATTTCGTCCGGCCTTGGATCTGGGCTTCCCTTGTAGCGGGACTTCTGTTGTTGGTTTTTAATTTTATGTATTTGGGAAAAAACCTTATTTTGCAGACATTTGTTAAAAAACCAAATGTTTTGGGAACATATTCGGCAACGTAGAAGCAATTTAAAATACCAAATAGCCATGAAACCAATTTCAGCTTTTTTCAAAAATTGAACCGAGGTGGTTTTTACTTGATGAAAATCCATTTTGATCACGTTTGAACAAATGGTTTAGGCTTGTTTCACTTCCACTAGATAGTGGTTTGGCTGTATATATTCAAATCGTAACTTCCTCTAATTTTAAAGATTATTTTAATTCAACTCGTTGCGATGCCAAAAAATTAAGACAATCGGAGACTAGAGTTATGATTATTATTATTATGTTCCATGAGATTTTTTGTTCTTGTGATAAATTACGAAATTTCATCTATTTCTCCTGGTTGTTAATTGTATTTTCAATTGAATGCATAATATTTCTATTCACAAAAACATTTTTCAGTCAGTTTAGTTAAATTATCTATGAATTTAAAACAAAAGTCGTTATTTTTTAAACAAAAAAAGTTTTGAACAAAAAAGTTTTCGATTTTTATGTGAAACTTTTTAGTATATTGAGCAAAAAAGTAAGAGACCATTGGTAAAATAGTAAACTCTGAATGAATATTATTTTAATAACTAACTAGAAATTAAATATGTAGCCCAAAACGGCTAGTTCAAACATATGTGCAAATACGTGTTTTTGAGAAGAAATTGAGAAGATGAAAAATGGCAACACACTTGTTTGTACTATTTACAAAAATGATATTTTTTTCCTTTTCGTATTTTTAGATGGTCTTGTTTTTCTACTCAGTATAGTAACAATTTTCATACAATAATCTGCAGTTCCAACTCTTCAAAGTTTTTAAGAAGGTGGGATATTATAAGCAAAAGCGTATGCAATAGTGTATCCCTTCCGCCGATATTTCGCAAAAATACAAATTTATTCGGCTAAGCTCCCCAAATCTCGTAATTTAGTCACAGAACTGAAATTTTCTAAGTTACATATCTGCCTACTAATTATCGAATTTTAACAAGCTCACCCCTTATGGCGCAATTAATTCATTGCCGTCGTTGACTAATCAACACAATACCTCAGGAACAATAAGCTCCCGAAAACACCTGCTCGACGGCCGGTCGCTAAATTACGTAAAAAATCGTCCGGCCTTTTGTACCTTTAGTTGGCAGGATCAAGCGTTAGGGACTTTACGCAGACGCGGGTTGGCCGTCCTGAGGCCGGGTCGAACTCCTCTTTACACAGCAACAAACCGGATAAGGGTTTGTCGCGCGTTTTCGCTCGTTAACATGGTATTGTTTCAATAACCGGTGCATAGACTGACCAATGCTTATAAGAATCCGCTCGGTTTGATGGGCGCGTAGGCCAACAGTGTCGCGTAAACTCCGCGCGGTATCCGAAAATCGATATATTATTCCAGTTTGAACCGGGTTCTGTGAAGATTAGTGTCGGGTTCAGTGGTCTTCGCTTCAAGATGCTGTATCGTGGTAGTCTGCGATCGAGCTTTGCGTTGCTGTGTTATGTGCTCGTGCGTCGGTGAAAAACGGGGGGGGCCGCTTTTTTGCAATTGTCATAAGTTTTCTGAGAAAATTATTAATTAGATCGTAGCGGATAACGTGTAAAAAGCTGAGGCAGCTCGTTCGTTTGACGGGAAATAGAGAATTTTGCTCGAAAACCTACACTGACAGAGTGACAAGTGTTTCTCGGTGTTTATCGAACCGGACTTTACCGAAAAATCCTGTTTTCCGGTTGTCTGTGCGGACCTTTGTCGAGTACGTTCGGATTTTAATTCATGGATTCCCGCTAAATCAAAGAAAATCGTTTAATTTCTTATGTAAAACAGGTAGGTTTATTGTAGAAGTAATAGGAAGTTATGTTACTGGGGAGCCCCATTGACCTTTAACAATGTTTATTGTTTAATTATATTTCAATTAAATGGAAAATAGCAGTAAAAATGACTCAATGTGCTTGGTACAATCTTTGGTGACAAATATAATTTAAATTCAACGGTCGATATGAATTATCTTGTCCCACAAATAATGAACTTTGGTCGTTTGGCCCATATATTTGGCAAAGCAGACGTTCGTTTATCCGCATAAATTGCCGGACCAGGCATTAAAAGTTTTTCAATTCACGCTGAACTCGACGATAGGGGGGGGGGGGGGGGGAAGTTGTTTACGAGGTTGTTTATATTATGGACATTTATTTTATGAAGAATTCCATGCTTTTACTAGCTTATTAGTGGTCGCGGTGTCGTAGAAATTTTACCTTCGCCAACAAAGATGCACTTCTTCTGTCACAAATTTGTGACTAGAGAAAGTTTTGACGTTCTCAGCTCTAGATGTGCTAAGAACATGCTGTTGGAGTTTTTTGTTGATAAGTCCAACCCATCGCGGTGAAACTTAAGCTTGAATAGTTGTAGTTTGCTTGCTGTTTTGTAAAGTCTGTTCATAGATATAACAAAGTGACTGATACGAATTAACCCGGGCAAGCTGTAAGAATGAAATATGGCCGAACAGGTCCGTACTTTCCTTAGAATTTAATTATTTGGGGTTTTGTTAACTAAAAATATTAGAACTGGGCTTTTACTTGATGAAAATCCATTTATCAAATAAATAAGAACTAAAAGTTCAGATTTTCACGAAATTATATATTATGACATGACAATTGCTTCGACAACACCGTGTCTTTATCAAATGTGACATTTGATAAAGACAACAAGTCGCGGAATTTAAATTGAGATTTTTCTGAAATTAGAGAAATCCGATGACAAACCTAGCAACGAAACAATTGAAAATATGGTTTATTAACCTTAGCAAAAAACATTTTTTGTTGCGAAATATTAAAAAATATTTTTTAAGAAAAAAAATGATGTGCAATTGCTTCGCCAATTATCCTTTGTTCTTCTTCTTCTTCTTCTTCATAAGGGACTCAGGAGGAATATTTGTATATTGCCATATAGCAGCCGGTGGAAGTTTGTTTGAAAAAAATTGTAAATAAAAAAACAAAAAAATTGATATCTATTGATTTTTCGAACAAACACTGTTTTCAAGTAAAAAAAAAACTATTTCGGGCATGGTTAATCGCCGAAATTATAAAAATAATTAATTTTAATAAACATTAGATATTGAACTGAGGTGGCTTTTACATGATGAAAATCCATTTATCAAAATAAATAAGACCAAGCAGTTCAGATTTTCACGAAATTACATATTTTTACATGACAATGTTTCGACAACACCGTGTCTTTATCAAATGTCAACATCAACAACAAACAACAACAATTGTCATTTTAAAACACATATATGTTTTCAAAAAATATCTTTTGCTGCTTGAAAGCAGTGAACAGCACGTGAAAAATGAATTGAATATAAATAGTGATAAAAAAGTAAGATTTCCGGACATATACGGCGTTAAAAGTTCGGGGGTTTGTCTAAGTTCTACCAGAGACATACTTTTGAGAATACAACGTTATTGGATTAGGAAAAAACCGAACGAGGTCTTCTTGAACGTGGACAAGATTAGTCATTACTCGTAATTCGCTTCCAATGGGTCTACCTATATAACTAACGGTGAATCCAAATGGTCTTATAACGAGTATAAACGATGGAGTCGCATCGGCTTGGCGTGTGAGAGCACAAGTGCGTTAGAGCTCCGACTCGGTTCAGCGCATTTGTTGTTTCATTTTACGTTACGGGAATAACACGTATTGGGAGCGGCCGTGGTACCTTTGGAATTGAAGATAAGTGTTTCGCGATTATTGTTATTAGGATTTTTGCCGTTGCCGACTTAAATGGACCGCTGGGATTACACGTTAGAGCCGTTGTTGTCGTGGCGATATCCGATTGGACATTGCGTAATCGGATCGCTTTTTTTTTTCTTGTCGATTGAAAGCCATGCTATAGTACGCGTGAAAGAGGATTGCAAATAAAAACCCTTTTCCTGCGATGATGACATCAATCTGAAAATATACCGCTGAAGCTAGCAGCTCATGATACAATGTATGTATTTGTCTTTAAGTTACCAAAACGGCCAAACTACGAGGTTCCACAAAGTGCTAATACTATTCGAGAAGTTATTAACAAAACAAATGTCTGTTATCTGCAGGTAAGTTTCCTGGAGGTAGCCTTGTAAGAGATCCTGCGTCTTGCGACTAAGGCGCAGTTAGGGAAAAATAATATTCGCGGCGTCGACCGGGTTCTAGAAAAAATCGCCAAAATGTTTAGAAGAACTGGAACATATGCATAAAAAAGAAGACAATGAACAATGCCCAAGATTTTATGTGACGAATTATGCTTTCAGCTCTTATTTCTTTCACCCAAGCTCATGCACAATTTGATGTTGTCCATCACCATATCCGTTTTGTCACAAAACTTAAGCTACCGTGCTAGGAAATGGGAGCATTTCATTTGAAGTACCAGGTGATGCATTTAAAAACAACTTCATAAGATCTGATATTTTTCCATTTGTTTTACCCCATATTATCCCGAGCATAAAAAAAAATAAAAAAATGCTTTTTTGTTCTGAAATTATTTATTTTGTTGCACTTAAAAATACATTACGTGTGTCAAAAAAAAAGAAACATACAAAAAGTACCGGTGCGTAAATGAACCACTGGGAAAAAAACATTAAATAATGTTTTGAGGCACAGAAGATGTAACATATAATTTATACATAAATATACAAAACAATGTTCAAATTCGACAGAAAACAACTAAAAGTAGATTGTTTTCCGAATAGAACCACTGGTAACACCCGGTTTCATTTTTGGTGATATTTTACAAAGCATGAAGTATGTAAATGCATATTACACTTATTCCAAACATAAATGTGTGGCTGTGGCAGATTCGACGTCTCTTTCGGGCTTTATTAGCATGAATGTAAGATTTAAAATCAAATCGATCGCTTCGTCATCAAAACATAAAAAATATTTCAAGCGTTTTTCCAGAAAACCTATTTTTTAATTCCTCACATGACCTAAATTCATCGGATATAGGTGTGCGGGTGTACTCAATCTGACCTTTCTTCCATTTGACAGTAGAAGCAAGCCTGTCGTTCGCAGAAAGCATACGTCTTCTTTTGAATTCCAGGGTTTCATCATCTGATAAGTGCCATTGAGGTTCAGTAGTTGATGAATTACAGCATTGTTGAAGGACAGTTAAATTCTTGTAGATTTATGTTATCGTTCGTCAGTCAAGGTATCCACGTCGGGTGGAATATAGTCCGCGTCAATATGTTCTGTAAATATTTTTTCACGTTATATTTAGCATAAATTTACAAGGAATGGAATGCTACAATACATAAGAATACGTAAATCCAAATAATATTTACGACATTCATTGTTATTGTCCTCATCCGTCACGATCTCCTCCGTAGCCGCCTCTAATTCCTTTCGAGTCAAATATTGGTGCATTCACATAGCAGTAAATATTTTCAAAAAATAAAGCATAATCAATATAGTGTTTCCAATGTATGTTTTCTGCGATGTAATCTACATGATATAGACTTAACAAAAACGGCAATACAAATCCAAAATATTTTTCGCGATTTCTTCGGTTTTACGTCCTTTAGTAGCGATAATAATAAAATTTCTAAATGAATGTGCATTAACGCACCACTGGGACAAAATGGGTTAAAGAAGTCAAGTGGATTTCCTGCACTTGAAAAATCTGCTGTGGATGTCGTAAGCAAGTAGAATTATTTCAAAATAAATAAGAACTAAGAGTTCAGATTTTCACGAAATTATATATTATGACATGACAATTGTTTCGACAACACCGTGTCTTTATCAAATGTCTTGCTTCGCATTCTTCGAGACCTATGGACAACACGAAATAATGGGTGTTTTTTTTTTCCATGTCTAGAACTTTAAGTTGGCATTACTGTTCAATATGGCGACCGATTTAACAGCTGTCAAGTAATTTATTCCCAGTTTGGTTTGGCAATTCATCATGAATAGACTCACGCCTAAACATGGCTTGCAAATGGGCCCAAAACGAGATTGCCGTTGTTCCCGATTTTCATATGCGAATTTTGTTTAGCGATGAAGCGCACTTCTGGTTGAATGGCTACGTCAACAAACAAAACTGCCGCATTTGGAACAAAGCTAATCCTCAAGTGTATGTCGAAACACCGTTACATCCAGAAAAACTGACTATTTGGTGCGCTTTATGGGCTGGTGAAATCATTGGTCCGTACTCCTTCAAAAACGATGATGGCCAGAACGTTACAGTCAATGGTGATCGGTATAGAACTGTGATTACTAACTCTTTCATTCCTGAATTCAATAAGCACGATGTCCAGGAGATGTGGTTTCAACAAGACTGGGCAACATGTCACACAGCTCGTGCCACAATCGATTTATTGAAAGACACGTTTGGTGACCGCCTAATTTCAGGTTTTGGACCTGTGAATTGGCCTCCAAGATCTTGTGATTTAACACCGCTAGACTACTTTCTGCGGGGCTATGTAAAGTCATTGGTCTATGCGGATAAGCCACAAACGTTTGACCATTTGGAAGACAACATTCGCCTTGTTGTTGCCGATATACGGCCACAAATGTTGGAAAAAGTCATCGAAAATTGGACGTCCAGATTGGACTACACCCGCGCCAGCCGTGGCGGTCGTATGCCAGACATCATATTTAAAATGTAATGCCACAAGATTATCTTTCGGATAAATAAAATTCATGTCAATCGAATAATCAATCCATCGTTGTTTTATCGCAACTTAAAATTCTATACTTCGAAAAAAAAAACCCTTATTTATACCGAACTGTACTAGAACTGCTGGGATGTTATAGTGAGACAGTTAGAAGCTAATTACTATAAATCAAAGCAAACT